TTCATGGCATCTGTATTGACTTAAACTAAATTTTCGATTTGTTTTCAGATTGGTTTGGTCAACAAAGTCTGAGAAACAAGGCATAATTTATTTTAGCCGAATCCTAGATTCAATTCGTTTATTTAATGACTGTATTTCATGGTTGGAGTTAAGTTGCTAAAAGGTTGAGCTGCCTGTTTACTAAAAATTACCTCTCCCCGCCAAAAGTAATATCTATCTCCGTTTAAAAGATATTGTCAAAAAACCTTTGTTTAGTTGTATTCGCCTACTTGAGTTTAACAGTTACAACAACACTAATTACATGCATAGAAAGAAATTTTTTTTTTAAAAACCAATCTCATTGCTCCGCTAATTAAAATGAAGTGTTAAGTTCACTTATTATTTCTAACGCTTCATTGCTAATTGAGGAGGGCCCATACACAAAGGTTAAAAAACGTAATTTTATTTCTAGCTCTTCATGTGGCATAGATATATTTTCGAAACTGAGGGGCAATAACGAAATCTGTAAGAATATTGTACACCATAGGCCATTAACAGAAGTCAATATGGTCTTATTTCTAAAAAATAAACGATTTAATGATACCCTTTTTTTTGTCTCATTACCGATTGAGGTGGTGGAGATTACCAATGAAGGAGCGCGCATACCGCAAAACAGGTTTGGGTGGCAGTGATTACCAATTGAGGACTTCTGCACTCCCCCCCTGGTACACTTGTATATAGAGTGATCGTATTTTCTAGGGGGGATTTTTGGGAATAGATCAAATATCTCGAGGGATGTACGGTAGAGTCTCCCAACCTTAAAAGGTCCTAGCCATGCAAAGTATTTGGAATCTTGAAAAAAAATCAAATTTTTACGATGAAATATTTAACTATCTATACAAATATTCAATTATCAACACCCTCCCCCCCCCCCCATGAAATACGATCACTCTATATACAATTAAGTGTACAATTAATAGGGTGGTCGGTTGTATTCATCTGAGGTAATCTTTACCTCTTTGTTTTCTTTCTCGTATGGTTTAAACTAAACAGAATATATTTTATTTGTCTCCAGGTTTTATATCTTTTTCTTTCAATTTGTAATTTACAAAACGTTTCCTTCTAAACCATCTATATCTAAATTTGGCTTGTCTGTCTGTTTGTTTGTGTTATTTACGTCAAATCGGCTGAACTGATCAGGACCCAATTTTGTTGTGGCATCTCACATGACCCAGGGAACCCAGGGGAAGGTTTATGTAAGGTCATAATTTTAAGATTTAGAAATTACGAAAATGTAGAACTTTTAGATTTTTGAAAATCCGCCAACTTAAACAAAAAAAGGCCCAAAATTTTATTTTTAGTTAAAGAGGACAATAAAAAATGACACCTTGCGAATCAACAGTTAAAAGATAAAATTGTTACAAGAAAAGGGAAGCCTAGCCTAGTTCGCCTAGTTATACAATTTTTACAATAAACCTTATTTACCAATAAATGTTTTAAATACTTCTTTGCGTTTTTATTTTATTTTAGATTTCCCTGCTGGAGATAGATCGTTAGATTTAGTTTATTTGTTTTCCTTCTCTCATAAATTCAACAAATGGATTTTAGAAAACGAAAACCAGGGAAAACGATGGGGGTTCAAGACAAGAATTAACCTTTCAGAATTCAAATAAATTTCTGATGCCTCATCTGTTGATTCTGTGGTTGATTTAAAAGATTTTTTTTTACTTTCAACCTTTTATATCATGAAAAAAAAAACATAAAAAAATAACAATGAAAGAATGCAAAACAATATTGCAGGAAACCATGAACTCTATTTATGAATGAAACTTAAATTTGAACCACTTTTTTAAAAAATCTTTACTGCAGACCCTCCATTTGTAGATTGGCATGTACTATTTACACCGGTAACCTAACCTGTAAAGCATATTGACTGATAAAAGATGGCGAAGTTTTCCTTATTCTATCCACAGAAGCACAGTTTGATTCTTAACCCTATTCCTGCTGGGGGTCCCCCCTCAGCATATCCTGGTTTTCAAGTACCCCAGCAGGGATAGGGTTAAAGACCACGTTAAACACAGAATATTCGGGAAAGATGTGAATTCATTTGCATAGCACTCAAGATGTGCACTAGTTTACAGTATTAGACCCACAGACTACACAGACTGCTTATCTCCTTTCACAGGGTCACTACATAGGGCTAAACCGACCCAGCACAACATGCTACGCTTTTGCGATAGGGTTTTAGAGTGCCATCTTACGGTCACTTGTTGAACATAATACCCATTCAGTGGTTAAGTTTTACAACTTTTAAAGAAATACTCCAATTTTAAACATGAAACATAACATTTATGAATTCAGTCTTTTTTGAACATTTTGTGTTTCGTATCCAAAGGACCCTTAAATATCCCTGAATACAGATGTTTGCTGATTGGTCGTGTACAGTACTTGTACACAATAGAACAAGCTGTGGAAAATATCGCATATTTTATCTGAAAATCGATCTCTGTAACTCTCTTATCTCTGGTTACACCCTAGTTCCCCGATAACAAATTTGCACACAACTTTCAGCGAAATTGTGGATTTCTCCGTCGCAGATAATCAGACAAATAAAAGGGTACTGTTTTGAATCAGACATGAAACTCTGCAAATGGAGAGTCACTTCAAGTTACATCTACATTCCCTTTATGTTATATTAAAACCCGGTTTCTAATCTACCAGGTGTCAGCTGTTTATGGTGACAGAAAACTTGTAATTAAGAACAGACCTCGGTTGCCCAACAAGGAGTGTACTAAGTTAAGCTAGTTGTGTACTGACAGTTAAGCCAGGGGTGTACAAGTTTAGCGAGGGGTGTACTGGAAGTTAAGCCAGGGGTGTACGAGTTTAGACAGGGGTGTACTGGAAGTTAAGCCAGGGGTGTACGAGTTTAGACAGGGGTGTATTGGAAGTTAAGCCAGGGGTGTACGAGTTTAGCCAGGGGTGTACTGGAAGTTAAGCCAGGGGTGTACTGGAAGTTAAACCAGGGGTGTACGAGTTTAGCCAGAGGTGTACTGGAAGTTAAGCCAGGTGTACGAGTTTAGCCAGGGGTGTACTGGACGTTTCGCCAGGGGTGTACTGGACGTTTAGCCAGGGGTGTACGAGTTTAGCTAGGGGTGTACTGGAAGTTAAGCCAGGGGTGTACAAGTTTAGCTAGGGATGTACTGGAAGTTAAGCCTGGGGTGTACGAGTTCAGATAGGGATGTACTAGAAGTTAAGCCAGGGGTGTACGAGTTTAGATAGGGATGTACTGGAAGTTAAGCCAGGGTGTACGAGTTTAGATATGGATGTACTGAAGGTTAAGCCAGGGGTGTACTAGTTTAGATAGGGATGTACTGGAAGTTAAGCCAGGGGTGTACTAGTTTAGATAGGGATGTACTAGAGGTTAAGCCAGGGGTGTACTAGTTTTGCTAGGGATGTACTGGAAGTTAAGCTTGAGAAATACTGGAAGCTTAGCAACAGCCAGGGGTGTACGGGAAGGTTAATTAGGGGTGTACGGGAAGGTTAACTAAGGATGTACGCACGGGAAGGTTAATTCGGGTTGTACTAAAAGTGTTACTAGAGATGTACTGGAAGTGTTACTGGGGATGTACTGGAATTATTACTGGGGATGTACTGGAAGTGTTACTGGGTATGTACTGTAAGTAAAACTAGGGGTGTACTGGAAAATTAACCAGGGGTGTACTGGAAAATTAACCTAGTGTTACTCAAAGTCAAATCTTTTAATAACAGAAAACAAAAATGAAACTAATATAAATATTGAACTGAACCTAATACAGTTTGTCCAAAATAAAGTAATGAAATTTTGTAACCAGCCTTATTTCATTGGTGTTTAAAGAGTCTTCTGTTTAAAGATCAATTTGGGGTGGGCATCGTTTTGAAAGAACTTTGACTTTGTACGTTTTCTCCGAGTTTACTGTAGAATTCACTGACGGGCGGATGTTTGGTAGTGTTAATTTGGTTATGCCAATTTGGTGATTTCAATTTGGTAATGACAATTTGGTAACGACAATTTGGTCAGTACATATAAGTGAAAATTTGGTAATGAAAATTTGGTGATTTCAATTTGGTAATGCCAATTTGGTAAGATGACAATTTGGTAATGACAATTTGGTAACTACAAAAAAGTGACAATTTTGTAACTTCATAAAAGTGACAGTTTTGTAACGAAAATTTTGGTAACTCTAAAAAACTGACAATTTGGCAATGACGAATTGGTAATGACAATTTGGTAATGACAATTTGGTAATGACAATTTGGTAATGACAATTTGGTAATGACAATTTGGTAATGACAATTTGGTAATGACAATTTGGTAAGATGACAATTTGGTAATGAAAATTTGGTAATGACAATTTGTTTACTTTAAAAAAGTGACAATTTGGTAACTACTAAAAAGTTACAATTTAGTAACTTCATAACTTTGACTATTAGGTAACTACAAAAGTGTGACAATTTGGTAAATTTATACAATAAATATATTAGGTAATCTCTTAAAAGGTGAAAGTTTGTAAGGTAAAGAATGGTTTACTATAATATTAATAAAAAAGCTAAATGGTAAATATTGCTTGCGAAAATTACCAAATTATTAGTACCAAATTTGCATTACCAAATTATTGGTCCCAAATTGTCATAACTAAATTATTGGCCCCAAATTGTCATTAAAAAATTTTCAATTTTGTGAACTTACCAAATTGTCATTGCCAAATTATTGGTACCAAATTGTCATTAACAAATTATTGGTATCAAATTGCCATTACCAAATTATTGGTAACAAATTGTCATTACCAAATTGTTACTTTTGTGAACTTACCAAATTGGCATTACCAAATTATTGGTACCAAATTGTCATTACCAAGATATTGATACCAAATTGTCATTACCAAATTATTGGTACTAAATTGTCATTACCAAATTGTAACTTTTCTGAACTTTCCAAATTGTTGGTCCCAAAATGTCATTACCAAATTGTCACTTTTGTTAACCTGCCAAATTGTCATGACCAAATTCACCACCTATTCTATTTGATTATTCAAGCATATAAATAATGGCCGTTTTGAATTCAAATCAAAAAATTTCCAGAGATTACCAATGTTGCGACAGCTGATAATTCTTTCCATTGTGTACAATGTGTACTGTAGACACCACAAAAACCGGTTTAATGATTACAGTGCAGAGTTCAGGTGAATATTTTATTCTCAGATATTCTTTTAGCCCTTGGGGTTATCATTAAACCCCTTGATGTCATCATTGACTCCCTTAGGGTATTAAATTTCCATTATTTTCAATTTTTCCTTAGTAGGATTTGAAGGAAACCTAATCATGATATTTATAAAATTTCCATTCTTTGTCACAACGTTTTTTAATCATGAACGTCTCAGGAAACTGTCTCAAATAATTAATTGTACATGACTTGTTTTCACTGAATATTTCTCACTTTTTAACACATTAATAATTTTTAATCTTTATTATTTTTAATCTATTGAAAATTGGCTGACAGCATTCAGTCCAGATTTCAATGGCATTTTTTTGCTATTATAATTTCTAAATTCTTTTATCTTAATTATGATTTTATTTACGATTAAGCTTTTCTATAGATTTCCCCTAGAAATATAATTTATTGGGGTAGTATCGAAATCGTTTGTGAATGCAAACAAATGGTTATAATAGCATATGGTTCATACACAATCTATAATTTTGATAAATTATCTTTTTTATTGGGTAAAAGCTATAGAACACACACACAAGTCAGAAAAGTTGTAAATCTTGGGGTATTGAATCATGATTTTTGATAAAGTGCAGTCTTTCATTGGTCGAATCAGAACCAAACTTGACTTGGGGTTTAGCTGAGCTCAAGCCCTTCAATAGACCGGGTTTATACTTGGGTTTAAGCTTTTAAAATCTCAGCTCAGAGTTGTAATGGGTATCTTTAAAAATCTGAGCCAAATCGGTCCATCCGGTTTATTAACTATAGCTAACAAATTATTATTATATATGAGCAAAAAGAGCTTTATTATATAGATAACAATTTCCTCTCACTATTTTTGCTAGAACATTAAAGTGATTTTCTAAAAGATTTATGTTAGTAATTTTAGTAACAATCTAACTATGATTAATGTTGCCGTATCAGCTGGAATAATATCATAAACTTTCTCTTTTATTAGTTGTACAAAGTTTAAAAGAAACGAATCTCCAATAATTGAACCGGTTGAACATTGAAATATCTCAAATATTTGATTTTTAGCAATGGTCAAAATCCTCGAAATTTTAATAAAACCCAGAAATGATATTCTAGACATGATAAGTTTGTGGCCCAGTTCAGAGATGATAGTCCATACAAAACATATTGTGCTCCAAGGGATGAACTCCAGGCTAGAAATAAGGTAAAAATATGTTTTCCGAGACTGGGGTTATCTATATATAATAATATGATATATATACTTTGGTTGTCTATCTGTTTTTGTCTAAAAAACATCAAAACGGCTAAACCGATCGGTCCCTGATTTTGTGTGGGACCTCGCGTGACCCCAAGAAAGGCTAATCGATGATCGAATTTTCAAAAATTTGCCTCTAACAAAATTCGATTTTTTAAATTTGGATAATCCACAACATTTTTTATAAATCTGCGAAATTTTTTGTTTTTGTTTTACAATGTACACAAAGAAAACAGGTTCAAAATTGAAATAGAAGACGCCCTAAAAACCTAGTTTAAATACAAAAAATATATATGTTTTTGGAAAAATTGTTTATAGTTTAACAAGGTTGTTTTTTGTGCAGTAAAAAGCTAACTATTCGTTTTTAAAACACTAGGCTTTTAGGGCGCTTCGATTTAAATTATGAACATGTTCTTTTTGCTTACATTTGCGGATTTTTAAAAAAAATTCGCGGATTTTCAAGAATTCAATTTTTTTTTATAAAATTAAAAACCTTTAAAACACATTTAAAATTTCAAAATCTATGACAATTTTATTCTGTGCAAATTTGTTTTTCTTACGGCGTTACCTAAATTTTTACTTTTTAATATTTTTTGTTTGAAAATGTTATTCATACAAAGATATATGCCTGAATGTTAACGGACAGTGTGTTAGTTGTTAGAATATACAGTTTTAAAACATTTTTGCTACTTAACCGTTTAAAAGATCTCATAAAATCTCATTAAATTGAGAAAATAAGGAAGAAAAACAACACACAAAGTAATTTCTTCCATCCAATAAAAAAAGTAAAAGATTGTATAAATAAAAACCTTCAAAAGAAATTACATTTAATTATAATGGTTAATTGTCTTCTTGTACTAATTAACCAATTAATTGACTAATTAATTTTATTTTTGTAAATCTGCTCCTGAGGCAAATAATCTATTTACAGGATGATTGGTTTATATACTGAGCTACAACTTTAGAATTGGAAACCCTTAATCCTGATCGCTTAATCTGAATATCCAATATGGACACTTTTAATTTTTTTTATCCGCGCTTGTTGGATATCATATTTCCTACTACATGTTAAAAAAGATTCGTTTGATTACAAATACAGGTACAATGCTATATCGATCGGACTAATATCCGATAGAACTTAAGTCAGCTGTTAACAAGCCGCTTTTAGAGCATTTAAACGAATATAATTTAATCCTGTTAATATTAACTTATTAAAAAACATATTCTATCACATTTAAGGACGAAGTTTTCTTGATAATTAGTCTTTGTAAACATTAATTCAAAAACTTAATATCGTTCAATCGATTATTATTTAAATTGATTTGACACCACAAATGTGGGAAAATTAAAACCCGGCTTTTCAAAAGTTAAAGAGCGCACCTCTAATCTGTAGAAACCATAATCTAAAGACCACACTCTGCTTTATTAAGGGTATACATTCTGTATAGTAACTTATCTATGCTTAAGAGTATATGAAGAAGTACACCAGCAAATAATCTATGTTTAACGAGCATAAACTGTATAAAGAAGTAGACCAGCAACTGATCTATGTTTAAGGGCATGAACTGTATGAAGAAGTGCACCAGTAACTGAACTATGTTTAAGGGTATGAACTGTATGAAGAAGTGCACCAGTAACTGATCTATGTTTAAGGGTATGAACTGTATGAAGAAGTGCACCAGCAACTGATCTATGTTTAAGGGTATGAACTGTATGAATAAGTGCATCAGTAACTGATCTATGTCTAATTGGATATAAACTGTTACACTGTATAAAAATGGCACCAGTGACCGTTCTATTTTTAAGGGCATTCACTGTATGACGAAGTTCACAAGTAACTGATCTTTGTTTAAGGGTATGAACTGTATGAAGAAGTGCACCAGTAACTGATCTTTGTTTAAGGGTATGAATTGTATGAAGAAGTGCACCAGTAACTGAACTATGTTTAAGGGAATGATCTGTATGACGAAGTGCACCAGTAACTGATCTATGTTTAAGGGTATGAACTGTATTAAGAAGTGCACCAGTAACTGAACTATTTTTAAGGGTATAAACTGTATGAAGAAGTGCACCAGTAACTGAACTATTTTTAAGGGTATGAACTGTATGAAGAAGTGCACCAGTAACTGAACTATGTTTAAGGGTTTTAAGGGTATGAACTGTATGAAGAAGTGCACCAGTAACTGATCTATGTTTAAGGGTATGAACTGTATGAAGAAGTGCACCAGTAATGCAGATTGTCAGAATGACCGGAAGGTTTGTCTGTGTGACAGCGTGTGTGGAATGTCTTGTATAAGGTTAGTATGAAGAGAGCAGGCGTGGTTTTTTGCATAGGATTATAAATGTAAATATAAAAAGTTAATGTCGTTTTCATGTTAATTTTTTAACATTCAAATCCATGGTCTTATCTATATATATAACATCTCATGAATATATCTTAAAAATACATATCTACCAATATATACAGTATGCCTTAAAAACGGTCTTTTAAACATAGTAGCACTAACTCATGTTTCAATTTTTATTCCCGATCGATCGATATCAATTAAAGGTATGTAGCACACAAATTGAAGATACAAGAACAGTTTGAAATTTTACATTTTGGTTCAACGTTGAGATTGAGAATTTGAATTTGACCGTATTTTGGAATTTCATTCGGGCTGATAAAGTACACTGTACACATCTTCTAAATAAATTTAAAAATTGCGCTGTTATTCTTGAAGAATGGCAAGACCTTAGTTTACAATGCAGGAAAGAGATTTCCTTGCTGTTGAGTACGATAAAAAAGGCGAAACGAACTTTACGCATGGTCTATCAATGGAATTTGGGGGAAAATTTCACCGTACAAAAAATTTTTTTTAATTGTAAACCCTTATTGTAAACAATTGAAATAAAATGTTAAAACAATTTCTTTTTTTCTTAAGCCAAAATGTCAAACTTGAACTATTCCCACTTCTTCAATTTTATTGGTACTTCTAATTGATATCGGAAATGTTTCATAGATATAAAAAATGTCCAAAGTTTTGAAAATAAAACTATATCGTGAGTGCTGCAATTTCTAATAGAGCGTGTTTTATACAACACTGTATATTTAAACAATATGCATATATGAAAAAATTTTAAAAAACATTATCATCAAATATATCACACATACTACAGATTGCATTTAACAAAATACACGACTTTTCTTAAACCAATTTATTTTTAAAATCCGTCCTTGGACTTAAAGAAAATTGATCAAATACTAATTTTTTTTTGAAGTTGAAATTTTGTTAGAAATATGAAAATATATTTATGCCAAATCTTGATAAATCTTTGTCAAAATATATATTTAAATAATGCACTTTTTAAGATCATAATAGAGTGAAGAAGATAAAGTGTAAAAGTAAAAGTGAAATTTTCAACAAAAATTCCTCTTCTAAGTTTCCAGTTCCATCAAACACACATCATAAATCAAATCTTATCTCAGAATCTTTTACACAATATCAACTATCTAGCACAACATGATGCTACAATATCAACTATCTGGCACAACATGATGCTTCAATATCAACTTTCTAGCACAACATGATACAATATCAACTATCTAGCACAACATGATGCTACAATACCAACTATCTGGCACAACATTATACAATACCAACTATCTAGCACAACATGATGCTTCAATACCAACTATCTGCCACACAACTATCTAGCACAACATGATGCTACAATACCAACTATCTAGCACAACATGATGCTACAATATCAACTATCTAGCACAACATGATGCTACAATACCAACTATCTGGCACAACATGATGCTACAATATCAACTTTCTAGCACACCATGATGCTACAATATCAACTAGCTAGCCAACAATGCTACACTATCAACTATCTGGCACAACATGATGCTACTTCATATCATTTTTATAAATTTATTTTAATGAATAGTTATACATGGTTTAACCTCCTAAACCTAGTTCAACCACTTATCTTCATCAACTTGATCCGGGGCACAAAAGAAGTGGTTAAACTACGTCTGCAGAATCTAACTACTTCTAAATTTTTAATTAAATCTGGTCCCAGAAATGATAAAGTGAAAATATATAAAAAAAACATTGTTTAAGAGTACAAAAATATATTATCATTTTGCACTGAACAAAATATATTATTGTTATATTTAGACCTGCTAAAGAATGTCCTGAACTACCTGACCCTCCGAATGGGCAGGTGCATTTGACCGGCAGAGCGTTCCAGGTAATTTGTTATTTATTTTTTTTTTGCTCGCATTTTCAATAAAAAATCATTGACTCTAGAACTTCTATGGTATGATTAAACATGATATTCTCTTTTTTTACTCAAAGTTTGATATAAACTTTAAATTAAAACTTTTCCTTATTTTCCCTTTATGCAATTCATCTTTCTCCCTGGTCCACTTCCTTCCATTTACTTTCCTTCTCCTTCTGATGAGAAAGGTGAAAATGCATATATTGAAACAAGAACTAAAATGCATATATTGAAACAAGAACTAAAATGCTTCTGGTGTATCTGTTCCATCAGAGAGAATTCTGAATTATGGTAATTTTATCATAGAAACTTTATTTAACCTTTTAACTTTTACAATTTGTAGCACAAACTTGAAAAATTGAATTTATATTCTGACATTAGATTTAAATGGAAAAGTATCAAAGTTCAAATTTTATTACACAAGGTTTTAATGCGAATAGGCTTTTGGTTTCATTTTAGCATTAATCGAATAATTTTTAAACATAGTGCAAATATTAAAGTAACCTCTTTAAAAGATGGGCATGTCAGATTTATAACGTTAATCGTCCCTTTAAGTGATGAAAATAGTGTCAGGAGCTTTTAAAGTATGATTCTGAAGCGGTTCTCTACGACGTAGTTCAAAATAAGAAATGTGACCTTTTTCTTTTTCTAATTAAAAATTATTAAAACCTCTGATATAATGTTACAGACACAAAATTTTTACAAAAAATGTTTAATTTTTACTATTGAAAGTAAAAAATTACTAATAAAACTTGTTTTATAAGCGGCTGAAGGCAAATATTTTTATTGAAAATTTAAGTTCTGCAGCTGTTAAGCATATAAAGTTTTATGAACTACTTGGCGAAAGACAGAAAAATTATAAATTATTTATTTTTATTTCTTATGCTACAAGAGCCTATGTGATATGTCTCAACCGCTTGTTTAATATCTATAGCGTGGGGTTGTTTCTTCAAAGAATATATTTGCTAAAAACAATAATAATCTTAGGACAGAGCCGTGTACACTTGTGATGAGGGCCATCAAATAATTGGAATAGAGAAAGTAGTTTGTCAGGTATGAAATGAAAAATTTCACCAAAATCGCCCTGTAATTTATCGCGTTGTAGGGAGATAAAGTAATTTTATCACCCTGTACTTTATCCCGTTGTAGGGAGATGAATTAACTTTATTACCCTTTACTTTATCCCGTTGCAGGGAGATAAAGTTACTTTATCACCGTACAACCGTTAAAATTAGGTTTGCAATTTGAAATGCTAATAGCAGGTTGATAAAGCAATATTTTGCCCTGTATACTTGTATGCCGAGTCCATTAGCGCCAAATTTAATCAAGGTTCAGTCATGTGTTTGTTGCCTATTCTGAACCAATAGGAATAGCATGGCAGAAACATCTATCTTTCTATCTATCTCATCATCCAATAAGAGATATGAATCCTTCAATCGGCGCTATCACTAAATGTAAATATTTACTTCTGCTGAAACTATTTTGCCCTTGTTGTAGGGCAATAAAGTCACTTAATCACCCTCCAACGTGAAATATTAAGTGTGATAAATCCTCTCAAAATTAAGTAAAAGACAAAAAATGGAAGAAACCCTGTTTTAATAAAATTCTAAGGTGCACCATAATACCTAATATTATTGAGATAAACAATGTGCAGGATAATGTATAATGTTAAAAAATTTATGAAAATAAAATAGTTTTTGAAAAAAAAACATTTTAATCCTTTTAAATATAAAAAGGTTTTAGATTGAAAGATCCAATATTGAATTAAAGTTAAAAAAACACATTTACTACGTTTTCAAAAAATGTATTATTTTATTCTCTTGCTTAAAAAAGCACCGCTGATGACATGCTGACAATTGTCCTTGTATATATCAACACAATTTGCGGTACAGTTGTACTCGTATATATCAACACAATGCGATACAGTTGTACTCGTATATATCAACACAATGCGGTACAGTTGTCCTCGTATATATCAACACAATGCGGTACAGTTGTCCTTGTATATATCAACACAATGCAGTAAAGTTGTACTCGTATATATCAACACAATGCGGTGCAGTTGTCCTCGTATATATCAACACAATGCGGTGCAGTTGTCCTCTTATATATCAACACAATGCGGTACAGTTGTCCTCGTATATATCAACACAATGCAGTAAAGTTGTACTTGTATATATCAACACAATGCGGTGCAGTTGTCCTCGTATATATCAACACAATGCAGTAAAGTTGTACTCGTATATATCAACACAATGCAGTAAAGTTGTACTCGTATGTATCAACACAATGCGGTACAGTTGTCCTCGTATATATCAACACAATACTGTACAGTTGTCCTCGTATATATCAACACAATGCGGTACAGTTGTCCTCGTATATATCAACACAATACTGTACAGTTGTCCTCGTATATATCAAGAAAATGCGGTGCAGCTGTCCTCGTATATATCAACACAATGCGGTACAGTTGTCCTCGTATATATCAAGAAAATGCGGTGCAGTTGTCCTCGTATATATCAACACAATGCGGTACAGTTGTCCTCGTATATATCAACACAATACGGTACAGTTGTCCTCGTATATATCAACACAATGACGACGGTACAGTTGTCCTCGTATATATCAACACTATTCGGTACAGTTGTCCTCGTATATATCAACACATGACGACGAATTCATCTTTCAACTTAAATTTCTACAGCAGAAATGTTTAAACATTTATGCTAAGAGAAGTTGTCAATGAAAAGCAAATTTCTTTGTTTACTTCTAAACTTGTAATTTGAATTTTTATTTAAGGTCAAAGCATTTCTAGTAAAAAGTTGTCTTTATTGTATTGATATAAACGACGATCTCTGTATAATTTATCATTCATTATAAAAATATATGTATATAGAGATGAAAACTATATTTTCCACAATTCATCAAATGATTGGAACGCAGTTATAAATTTTTAATTGCATCTTTTTTACGATGCACTGATCAAATAACATTTTTTAGAATATCTAATTTGCCAAAAATACATACAAAAGTAATTTGCACGCCCTTGAGTAGTTACTGTGTTCAGCTAATTGTTCATTACAAATTTCTACTTGCAGTCTTTCAGAGCAAATGTTCAATTGTTCAAATTTAAACACAAATGCAAAAATTGTACGGTTCAAGGTTATTATTTACAAAATAATTTTATGAATAATATATTTGAATAATATCTATTTAAAGGCCTCTGGTCAATGGTCCGGTGAGCAGCCGACTTGTAAACATTCTAATGGTGGAGCACATAGTCCTTACTACTGCAGCCAACCTCCAATCATTAAGCATGCTAGCCACAATGGTTCACAAGAACAGGAAATTAACAAGTTTTATCCCGCTTTTTTATTCTCTCACTTGCTAAAAATACAGGGTGACTCGAGGGATGTACTCAAGGTTTAACCAAAGGCGGTGAACTTAAGGGCGCGCATCAAAACTTTTTTTGGTTCACCCTCTAAAATTAAGATTCAGGTCTAAATAAAAAAAAATTTGACAAATTTAATACATTAACCTTTTCTCCGATATTAGGCCTTTAGGTTCCATGGTGGGGCAAATCTATGGGGGTCCAGAAGGTTCCAGCCCCCCCCCCCTCCAGTTCGCCACTCGGTGACTCGTAAAACTGTGGAATAGGAAGACAACAATCTAATGGGTCTGATGTTGCGTGAAAATTTGCTGCAAATATTTCAAATCAAGTTCTTCAGTGAAATATTGGTCTCATTGAATAACACCGCAGAAATGTTGTGTTCCATATTCGTCGTTCATTGGACTATTCAAAATCCTAACTTGAGTCCAACAGTCGTCTTCCTATTCCCCAGTTTATAAGTCTCACTGTACTTTTTAGAAATGTCATGCGATATTTAGTCTTTTTATTTCAGTTAAATTTAGCAAGTTTTCCTTTTCTTTCTTGTCCCAAGGTAAAAAATGTTTTTTTAAAGACGTTCTTTGATCTCGATACAGAACTTTCTTATCATTGCCACCCAGGATTCAAAAGGTAAAAACAGAACAGAACAGAGTAGACTAGAACAGAATGAACAGAACAGAGCAGAACAGAACAGAACATAAAAGAACAGAAAAGAACAGAACAGAACAGAACAGAATAGAACATGACAGAACAGAACAGAACGGAACAGAATAGAACAGAATAGAACAGAACAGAACAGAACAGAACAGATCAAAACTGAGCAGAAAAGAACAGAACAGAGTAGAACAGAACAGAACAGAGCAGAACAGAACAGAACAGAGCAGAACAGAACAGAACAGAACAGAGCAGAACAAAACAGAACAGAACAGAACGGAGCAAAACAGAGCAAAACAGAACAGAAAAGAACAGAACAGAACAAAGCAGAACAGAATAGAACAGGAATGAACAGAAAAGAGCAGAACAGAACATAAAAGAACAGAACAGAACAGAACAGAACAGAACAGAACAGAACAGAACAGAATAGAACATGACAGAACAGAACAGAACAGAACGGAACAGAACAGAACAGAACAGATCAAAACAGAGCAAAACAGAACAGAACAGAGCAGAACAGAACAGAACATAAAAGAACAGAAAAGAACAGAACAGAACAGAACAGAATAGAACATGACAGAACAGAACAGAACGGAACAGAATAGAACAGAATAGAACAGAACAGAACAGAACAGAACAGATCAAAACTGAGCAGAAAAGAACAGAACAGAGTAGAACAGAACAGAACAGAGCAGAACAGAACAGAACAGAACAGAGCAGAACAGAACAGAACAGAACAGAGCAGAACAAAACAGAACAGAACAGAACGGAGCAAAACAGAGCAAAACAGAACAGAAAAGCACAGAACAGAACAAAGCAGAACAGAATAGAACAGGAATGAACAGAAAAGAGCAGAACAGAACAAAATAGAACAGAACAGATCATAAAAGAACAGAACAGAACAGAACAGAACAGAACAGAACAGAACAGAACAGAATAGAACATGACAGAACAGAACAGAACAGAACAGAACGGAACTGAACAGAACAGAACAGATCAAAACAGAGCAAAACAGAACAGAACAGAGTAGAAAAGAACAGAACAGAGCAGAACAGAACAGAATAGAGCAGAACAGAACGGAGCAAAACAGAGCAAAACAGAACAGAAAAGAACAGAACCGAACAAAGCAGAACAGAACAGAACAGAACAAAAACAGAACAGAACAGAACACAACACAGCACAACACAACACAACACAACACAACAGAACAGAACAGAACAGAACAAAGCAGAACAGAACAGAACAGAACAAAAACAGAACAGAACAGAACACAATACAGCACAACACAACACAACACAACACAACACAACACAACAGAACACAACACAACACAACAGAACAGAAAAGAACAGCTAGATGTTTCCATATATGAATATTACTGCAGGGAAGGATTTGACCATGCAAAATGCTTCTATATGAATGGAACAGCAACCTGGTATGGACCAGATCTTGTCTGCAATCCTATAGGAAACATAATTTAACTTTATGCGGTGCATTATTAGCAGGAGACTGGAGTTTATAGAATTTTAAATAAAAAATATTTGTTTTATAATATTACTATATTCTATTTTTGTTTTTTAAAATCTTTATCTTTGCAACCTGATGGTGTAGACCATTATCTCAAACTATAAATTCTCCTATGATCAAAAAGTGTAATTTGAATTATCAAAAGTTTCCACCTGAGAATAATCGATCTATATATTAGAAAATGAGAATTTTAGATAAATAGATTAGAAAATAAGAATTTGCGCCAAATGTTCATTCCCTTTCCTATCTTTTATTCATTTTTAACCTATCTATCCTCAATACGTGTGACGGAGGGTGGAACTATCATCAATAATATTGAAAAATAAAGAATTTTCAAATTTTCTAAATATTTTTTGCGAAAGAAAGTTTTTCGAAATAATACTGCACAGATTGGAAAACTTGGAATAACTTTCACATTGTTATAGATGTTAGAACTGTAACAAGCCTAAAGCAAGGAAACAAAGGATCTCCCCAATATTAACTTTCTTCAACTTCCTGGATTTGGTAGGGTGGGTAGATATAGTAGATATAGTGCTAACTATTTGTAAATAAAAAGAAATATCTCCTGGAAAAGTTTTTACTTCTTAAAAATAGGAAAAAATATTTTCATGGCGGAATTGAGAATTTTGATATTTTTGTTTTATTTTTTGAAAATATATAATATATAAAACTGAAAATACCGTGCTCTCTCTTAAAATTGATGGACATAGTTTCAATTAAATTAAAATGTTGTTTTTTAACTTAAATTCCTGATTATTTGAAAAAGGAAATGCCAAAACTGAAAAATTGCAAAGGAACTGAGTTTTTGCCACAAATTCTGATTTTCTATTACCTATATCTATTTCAAACTATGAAATCGGTATGAAAAAATCTAAGTTTAGAGAATAAAATGTTTACACCATCAAATTGCAAAAAATAAGGGATTGAAAAGTTTGCAGCAAAAATATATATTTTTTTAATTAGAAAAATTCTGAAAATGTGCAAATTGACAGGCTTTGCAAATTTCGTTTCAAAACTTTTTTAAAGGGGATTTCTCAAAAAAAACCTCAAAATCCAAGAACTTGAAGTAAAACAAAACCTAATTTTGGACTTGGTTTAGTTTAGAAAAAAGGCATCATTTTAAGGCTAAAATCGAAAAACATTTTTTACCATTTTCTTGCTCGAGTTTATTAAAAGTAAGTTCTAAGTATTAGAGCATGTTTCTGTGAATCAAAAAACAATTAAATGTATTTCTCATGTTTATTTGGACCCCCCCCCCTTTGCATTAAGAAAATAAAATATGTAATGAACAGAAATAAATAGAAGTTTTCTACTAATTATCTTCTAACTATATGACAGAAATTGAGATGTATTTCTTTAGTAATTATCGGTTAATTATGTTTTGTAATTAGAGTGCGGGCCCCCAGACCTAATTATGCATGGAAAATCCCAAGGCGACTGCACATCTTTCAGGAAGCTGATTAGCATTAAATAATAAGAAACTACTTACAGTGGTCAACTGAATAAATGGAATACGGTGCTTATTTCAAGATAATTTATTTTAAGCATAGTTGATTTAACGTGATATACCAAAAAAGCGATCATACAGTAGGATCCATAAAACTTTGGAATATGTAGTCGACATTTAAGAAATCCTTAATTCTCTTGATCTTGTATAATGAATTTTTTTAGCTTAAACATCAGCTCATTAAATTAGATGGGACTCTGTATATACACAGCACAATTGCTGTGCTATATAAGTCCTTTGGAAAATTTAAAATCATAATTCGAGTCAAAAAGTTGTAAAGTCGTTTTCCTGCTCCACAGTTTTATTGTTCTTATCATAGTTTTTGGATCTTTTTTAAAGGGACAGACCGGCTATGTTAGGTATAGTTAAACTGAGTATGCAGTGTTGTGAACAAATTCTTTAGGATTCATTTGAGACAAATAAAACTTTTTAAAAATCTGTAAATCCTGGGTTTGAGCGGAAAGTCGACGTTCAAAATCGCACTTTTGTGTGGATACGTTTTTAGAATTGTTTTTTTAGTTATTAAATAACGACGACAAAAAAAATTAATCAAAATTCAACAGTAATTAGTTGTTTAGGAACAGGTTGAGAAAATAAAAATTAACTCTTATCATCGAAAATAAATAATCTTATTCAATTATTAGTTTCTATACCATCTTAATAATCACAAAGATTTTCTTTATATTTTCTGGAATTTTTATTAAAAAGACGACATTTGAAGAATTTGAAGCTGCGAACACATTCACAGTAAAAAAGAAATTCAATATAGAATTTTTACTTTATTTTTCGTCGTCGTTATTTAATAATTAAAAAAACCTGATTATGAAAACGTACCCATCCAAATTCATGATTTTAAACGTCGACAATTTGCACTCAAACTCAGTAATTATACTTTTAAGAGGTTCTATAATTATCTATAGATGTTAACATATTAAAATTTGAATGCTTTTGCGATGTAATGCAGTCCGATTAAAAATCCGTTCTAATTTAGGATTTATTTTTTTAAATTTGTAATTTCTTTTTTAACTGATTAATTGCTATCAGATGTCAGATAAATTATAAATGTGACGCGGGATTTGTACTGGACGGTCGGGCTACAAGGAAACCTCTTCTTAAACAAACTAATATTTCCCATCTTAAACACCTACATAGCAGGGTTATCTAACGCGTACCATATTGGATTTTGTTCAATCTTTAACATCTAAATATTCACAGAATACTCTGCAAACCCTGAATCCCTTTTAGAATTTTTATTGATTTAATCTTCTAAACCTTTATGTTTTGTCCTAAAAGTCCTAGAGTCGGGCACGAGGATCTAATATGATGCGTGTTACATTCTGTAAATATAAATTGGTGAGCAGTGACAACCAAAAAAAATTGTTGTCGTCTTTAATTTAATCAAAAAATGAATGGTTGAAATATCTAGCTTCAATCAATGTTCTGGCAACATCTTCATTTTTGAATTAATTCTAAATAAAAGAAATGTTGGGGCCATATTCTAGATAAAAAGAATGATCGAAGACAACACACGTTCTGCTGTTTTTTGTTATTTCTATTTTTACAAGACAAAATGAAAAACAATGAAACTTAATATAAATCATCTCAGTAATTACACCAATCTTAAAGGGACTGTAAGCGCTATTTCAACTAACCTTCAATGAAAAGATGGAAATTTCCGATTCAAAACAGTACCTTAGAAACTTTTATCTGATCAATAATATTGAAAATATTGTCGTTTTTCTAGGTTTAAAGGTGCTCAATTCTGATAATTTCTAAATGTTTTCCTACAGTAAAAATGCGCAAGTAATTTTTTAAGAGAAACCACAATTTAGAATAATGAGTTTTCAAAACTATAAACATTGATATCTTATTCAAACTTGATCAGACAAAGCTTTTAAGCTAGGTTAGGTTAGGTTAGGTTAGGTTAGGTTAGGTTAGGTTAGGTTAGGTTAGGGTACCGCTGTGAACACATGTGTCACTCGAAAATTACGTTCACAGTCGCTTTAATAAAGAGAGATTTCAAAAACTTGAATTTTTCCTTTGTTTGATGTCGAGGTTTCATTTTGTAGAATTTGTCAGAATGATGGAACTTGGACACCAGGTATTTTATTAAATTAGAACTGATTCATCTTTAGTTAAAATATTTTGTAAATTATTACCCTTCCCCCCCCTGGGTCCCCTGATACATTGTGCATTTTCTTTTTTCTTGCAACACAATTACTGAGTATTTCATAAATGGATTTTTATCTGTTTTAAATGAACTATAGTCGTAATTTCAAGTGACCCTTCATGTACAGAAGATAATGTCCGATTTACAACGGTACCCTTTAAAGCTTTATCTGATTAAGTATGATTTAGATATCCATGTTTATTTTCATTTGTATTTTCTCTCCGAAACTCAGAAAGTGACATGCATTTATTGCTTGTAAGAAAGACTGGAGAAATTATTAGAAATAAACACTTTTCGAGTCAGGAAGACGACATTATCTTCCACACTTTTGATCTGATAAAGGTTTCAAAATCAGGCTTTGTTCTCATTGTATGGAAGGGCATTATTTGAAATTACATTTACGCCCCTTTTAAGAAATGATATCATGTGTCCTGAGGTCGGAATAAATTAATAGTAAGAAGTAGTTGAACTATGTATGGGTTGTTTAACTACCACTCTAGTGCACTATTGAAAATATTATAAAAGAAGACTAGTTGAACTATCGGTATCTAGTTCAAAATTTATGGCATTTTAAAAATTTCGAAAATATATGATATTAATAATTTTAGGGATATAACATAGAGTAATTTTCCTTAGATCATTTAACTTTATTTTTATAAACGATATTATACACATAAAATTTGCAATATCTGTACAATATATGTGCAATATGTGTTCATTATTATTATTCTCTTTTTATTCTCTAACATTGTTGAAGTCCTGTACAGAATGAAGTTATATTAAGATAAAATGTGTTCCAATTCTTGTTTTATTTTCTTTATATTATGTGTGCAGTGAGCAGTTTTGATAAAAGTTTTGAAAACCTAACCTGAGAGAAATATTACCAAAGTATAGTTGTATACTTTATCTGCTGGAGATATCTATTCTTGATTTATTTACATCGTGTCTTACAGTGATAACCAGAAAACTCTGAAAAATAAAAACGACTTTTTAGAAGCATATTTGATGTTGTTTCAAAACAAATACTTTTACTGGACACTTATTAAATCACTAATAAAGGGAAATGGGTCTGTTTGCACTGCACAATTGCTATTTCCCATTCTTATTGGACTAATTAAAGTCAAATTTAAGCCTAAGAGTAGTCTCCTTTAACAGAGTATTCTGGTTGTTACTGTAGTAGAGCAATTTTAATGTTAAAGTTAAAATTTTTCTCTAATTTTAATTTAAATAAGCAAAGATCTGAGCTAACAGTTGTCTAACAATAATTTTTTGCTGTTTTTTGGAAGAAATTATCCTAATTGAAGTGACAACGGAGATCTATTTTTATTGGAGACCCACAATGTNAAAACCGGTTTTCTTCACTACGTGCAATATTGGTAATCTCCTAGTAATGTCAGTACACATGGCTGTTTATACACTAGGAGAGCTACCTGCCTGCCGGCCTGTACAGTGCGGTATTCCACCAAACCCAACCAATGGGAAGTCTCTATTTACAGCTGTAGCGTACAAGTCCGTGGTTGTGTATGAATGCAATTACGGATTTATGATCAGTGGAAATTCGACCAGGTAAATATTTTGAATATTTTTCATTCAATTATGTAGTAATTTTTAAAGTAAGAAATATTTCACAAACTTTGACTTAATTATTCATTTCATTAGTATTTTTTATCTTCATACAAATTTTTTAATAAATAATTTCATAATTTCTCTTTTAAATAGATCATTTCCTGAAGTAAAAGTGAAACAATAAATTTGATGTGTTTCTCAATTATAGTATATTTTAAATCATTGATTTAATTAGGAAAAATAATTTTTTAAATTTTCTTTTAATGGCAGATTATTTTATTGAAAGCTTTATTTTGAATAATTAATGGATTATTTATTTTTTATCTGAGCAGATTATTTCATTAGAGAATATTTTTTAATCCATGATAATTTCCAGGACGCATCGCGACCATCTTCTATTTCAACTTATTACTGTGGCTCTATCTGTGAAAATCTTCTCTTTTGTACCTTTCTTAAAAAAAGTTTGTGGATTTAATAGTATTTTTCATGGATTTTCAAAATTTTACAAAATTCCCAAAATTTTAGAGATAAATATTTGTAATTTTGAGCATTTTTAAACCTTCCCATGGTGTAATTTGGGTTGCATCAAAAATTAAGTTGTGACTTGATAAAATTATTGTTTGTTTAGAACTTGTGAATCAGACAAAAACTGGAGTGGACAAATTCCCGAATGTATTGTAAGTATTATTGATAATTAGACCGCCAAACATTACCAACCCACTATTCTCTTAACAGATGGACGTTAAGTTACTTAACGTCCCTATGACTATTATGTAAAATAACTATTCGCTTTGCGAAGTTTTTAATGAAATATAATCGCATTTCATCACAATGGACGATAAAATTGTGTACAACTTTTTTTTCGAGCAATTAAATTTTTTACTTAACTAAAGAAGTTGTTTTTGATTTTTCTTTCAAAATGATTAAAATAAAATAAACTATACTAATGATAATATTCGCGGCTCTGTAATGAAATGAATTAAACTGTTAAAATATTTTCCATTATAGAATAAATATATAATTAGGATTATCTTAAAAATTTTGATATTTTGAATAATAATATTATCTATAAAATAAAAATATTTATGATAAAAATAAAATATATGTTTCAGGAGATAAACTGTGGTTTGCCTGGGAATGGATTGCTTCCTAACGGATACTTTGAAGGAGTTCGTGGAACTAGTTTAGGAGCTCAAATATCATTCAAGTAACAGCTAAAGGGACAGTTACTGTATTTTAAAGGGGGGTTGCTCGCAAAAAATTAAATGAAATATGTGTAAACCAAATAGATTCTAATATGGCAGATGGCAACGTAAAACTTGTACAGTGGGCACTCTGAGTACAGCTGTATTCTGATATATCAACTGTCAATTCAGTTTTTGTGTCNTGTTTATATTTTCCATTTTTTTCGAATCTCTTAAAACAAAATCTACACAAGTGTTAAGACCCCAAAAAGGAAACTCAGGAGTTTCGTTCAACGATACTCTTTTAAATTTCAGGCTCAGATGGCAACGTAAAACTTGTACAGTGGGCACTCTGAGTACAGCTGTATTCTGATATATCAACTGTCAATTGAGTTTTTGTGTCCGACAAAATTATTAATAATAGTGATAATTTTAGAATAATGTGTTTATCTTACAGTAAAATAAGTGCAATCTTATGTGTTTTACACTTTTTTATTTGATCTTGGAAAACATGTCAACTAATGTGAGAAAATTTCGTTTTGTTATATTTGACACTTGTGACGTTGTGTATAATTGGTCCATTTCTCTGTTGCCACCTATTGTACTTGATAATCTATTTGATTTAAACGAATGCATCGAAGTGAATTTTACAATTGTAGGTTATAATATATAAATGATTAGTTTTAAATGAAATTGAATAATTTAGGATCTGAGTGGAATATTGCAACTCTGTGGGTTTGTATTTAATTCAATTCGACATTTACCAATCGCTACTTTAATTTTTGGCGACCACTCCCTTTAAATGACTTTCTATTTAAATAGGGCAAGCATGATTCACAAGGGTACACATTAAACCATTGACTGGTTAACAAAATGGAAGATATCGACGTTTTCTAGCTTGAAAGTGTTAAATTCTGACAATTTTCTACATTATGCCAGACGCAAAATGATGAAAGATATTATAATCATAAAATTATAAAATTATAGCCTAACCATAATTGAAAAATATCAATTTTTTAAGAGAAGATTATGGACATCTCAAGTAATCTTAATTAAGGTTACCATTGTGAATCGTACATGCCACTTTTAAAAGGAAATTAAAAATGAAATTACGCTTGCAGTCCCTTTAATTTATCAATAATATTAATATTTAACATTATTATTAGTTCAACCCACAATTATTGAGTCATCGAAAGAATTAAGAAAATGTCGTCTTGACAATTTTTTTATGGGTTTTATACAGTTATAGGTAAATCTATAATTTAAGAATAGATAAATAACTATGAAATATGATGGAACAGGTTAATAAAACGACATTTTATAATTTTTTATACCGTTAAATTATTTTTCATGTAAAAATGTAGGGGAAAATTCTGAGACGACAATACAACATGCTAATTGGGTTGACAAGCACACTAAGTTTGCAGTTGCAGGGAACCAAAATGTAAGTAAAAATTGTATGCTATGTAGATGCATGGAGGGTATGGTGATAGAAGCTGAATCTATGTCTATATCCTGTGGTGCAGACGGCAAATGGAGCCATTCTCTCCCTAGGTACGTTGTTCACTGACAAAAATGTAAATTTTTATTTGTCTCCATGAAGAATGCATGCAATTCTCCCTGGTAAAACTTTTCATATTTTCAAGTTAATTCATATGACAATGTTGTTATGGCCTGGTATAACACATTTCCGCTAACTTTACCATTCAGTTTATTTTATATAATGTTCTAGATGTTTGGCCCCTTGTATTATTAATTATATAATTATCTAGATGTTTGGCTCCCTGTATTATTTATTATTTAATTATCTAGATGTTTGGCCCCCTGTATTATTAATTATATAATTATCTAGATGTTTGTCCCCCTGTGTTATTAATTGTATAATTATCTAGATGTTCGGCTCCCTGTATTATTAATTATATAATTATCTAGATGTTTTGCCCCCTGTATTATTAATTATATAATTATCTAGATGTTTGGCCCCCTGTATTATTAATTATATAATTATCTAGATGTTTGGCCCCCTGTATTATTAATTAANGAAAGAAAGAAAGAAAGAAAGAAAGAAAGAAAGAAAGAAAGAAAGAAAGAAAGAAAGAAAGAAAGAAAGAAAGAAAGAAAGAAAGAAAGAAAGAAAGAAAGAAAGAAAGAAAGAAAGAAAGAAAGAAAGAAAGAAAGAAAGAAAGAAAGAAAGAAAGAAAGAAAGAAAGAAAGAAAGAAAGAAAGAAAGAAAGAAAGAAAGAAAGAAAGAAAGAAAGAAAGAAAGAAAGAAAGAAAGAAAGAAAGAAAGAAAGAAAGAAAGAAAGAAAGAAAGAAAGAAAGAAAGAAAGAAAGAAAGAAAGAAAGAAAGAAAGAAAGAAAGAAAGAAAGAAAGAAAGAAAGAAAGAAAGAAAGAAAGAAAGAAAGAAAGAAAGAAAGAAAGAAAGAAAGAAAGAAAGAAAGAAAGAAAGAAAGAAAGAAAGAAAGAAAGAAAGAAAGAAAGAAAGAAAGAAAGAAAGAAAGAAAGAAAGAAAGAAAGAAAGAAAGAAAGAAAGAAAGAAAGAAAGAAAGAAAGAAAGAAAGAAAGAAAGAAAGAAAGAAAGAAAGAAAGAAAGAAAGAAAGAAAGAAAGAAAGAAAGAAAGAAAGAAAGAAAGAAAGAAAGAAAGAAAGAAAGAAAGAAAGAAAGAAAGAAAGAAAGAAAGAAAGAAAGAAAGAAAGAAAGAAAGAAAGAAAGAAAGAAAGAAAGAAAGAAAGAAAGAAAGAAAGAAAGAAAAAAAGAAAGAAAAAAAGAAAGAAAAAAAGAAAGAAAGGAATCTTTTCTGCTGATTTTTTTCCCTCTTTAAAAAAACTATTAGTGGAGATTCATTCCAAAATACAAATTTTGTCATGTGTTTTTGTTAAATATTGTTAAAAAATCCATATAAAACTGATTTCTTAAAACTTTCAAAATGTTTTCATTTAACTTGAGAAATTATCATCCCAAAAAATGTTTTTTGTTCATTTAGGTGAGCCATGGAAACAATATCACAGTGAACTGCACAGAAAATCATGAGGTAGGATTTGAACAATTTATCTGTATTGTATTTAAACAATTTCCAGTATTGTATTTAAACAATTTCCAGTATTGTACTTGAACAATTTATTAGTATTGTATTTAAACAATTAATCAGTATTGTACTTAAACAATTTATTAGTATTGTACTTAAACATTTTTCAGTATTGTATATTACAGTATAAAGGAATTGAATCTTTGCCACAAACTTAAATTTCTTAATCCCTATATCTTTGCTTCCTGATGGTTTAAACCTTTGATATTTCAAACTTAGGTTTGTGGAGATTCATTCCAAAATACAAATTTTGTCATGTGTTTTTGTTAAATATTATTAAAAAATCCATATAAAACTGATTTCTCAAAACTCTCAAAATGTTTTCATTTAAATTCAGAAATTGTCATCCCAAAAAATGTTTTTTTTTCATTTAGGTGAGCCATGGAAACAATATCACAGTGAACTGCACAGAAAATCATGAGGTAGAATTTGAACAATTTATTAGTATTGTACTTAAACAATAATTAACAATTTATCAGTATTGTACTTAAACAATTTATTAGTATTGTACTTGAACAATTTATTAGTATTGTACTTAAAAAATTTATTAGAACTAGCCTTAGAAGGCGCTTCGCGCCCATCTTCTAAATTAATTGTGAACATTTTCTCTTTGTGTAACCTTCCCTGTGGTCACGTGATGTCCCACAAAAAATTTGGGCCCGATCGGTTCAGCCGTTTTGACGTTTATTGGATACAAACAAACAGACAGACAAGCCAAATTTATATATAGATTGTACTCAAACAAATTATTAGTATTGTACTTAAACAATAATTAACAATTTACCAGTATTGTACTTAAAAAATTTACCAGTATTGTACTTAAACAATTTACAAGTATTGTACTTAAACAATTTTTTGTATTATACTTAAACAATTTATCAGTATTGTACTTAAACAATTTACCAGCATTGTACTTAAACAATTTACAAGTATTGTACTTAAACAATTTACCAGTATTGTACTTAAACAATTTACCAGTATTGTACTTAAACAATTTATCAGTACTGTACTTAAACAATTTACCAGTATTGTACTTAAACAATTTACCAGTATTGTACTTAAACAATTTATCAGTACTGTACTTAAACAATTTACCAGTATTGTACTTAAACAATTTATCA